AACCGGGTGGTGAGACACCGGGTGGCGACCTGTAATCCCCAAAAAGGTCACCGTTGGGTTTGGGGACGCGGGGTCACCACCGGGTGTTGTGACTCCTAGACCCACCAGTGTCCGGGACATCCTCGGAAGACCGCACGAGTCCCCAGACCGGGTGGTGACACCAAATCGCCCGAGACTCACCGCCAGGTGTTGTCACCACCACGTTTGGGGACTACCAATTGATATCCGACCTGAAAGGCCGAATTCAAGGAACACGCCAGACTTGAAACGCTCATGTTGAGACGTACCAAACTCTTTCTAGGCACCGGGCGGCCATATACGAAGGACCGCTCGAAGCCAATGGGCGTGCTGAAGGACCCGCACTTCGCAGCTGCCCAAGGAGCCGCGAGTTCTCGGCTGGATGTGAATACTCCCCCACTCTGCCGGGCCTCCCAGGAGCCAACGAAAGTGGCTACAGATGCGCAGTTCGCAGACCCCCAATGGGCCGCGAGGTCTCGGCTGGATCTGCTTACTCCCCCACCCCGCTGGGCTTCCCATGTGCCTGCGAAAGTGGCGACCCCCAGGAAGCCGCGAGGTCTCGGCTGGATCTGTGTGCTCCCCCACTCCGCTGGGCCTGCCAGAAGCCCACGAAAGCGGCGACAGCTCAGCAGTTCGCAGCTCTCCCCCAGGGAGCCGCGAGGTCCTGGACTTGCGCATTCCTCCCGCTCTGGTTGGCCTCCCAGGCGCCAACGAAATTGGCGACAGTTGCGCAGCTCGCAGCCCCGCCGCCCCCCAGGGAGCCGCGAGGTCCCGGCTGGATCTGCGTGCTCCCCTCCGCTGGGCCTCACAGGAGCCCGCGAAAGTGGCCATAGTTGCGCAGTTGCAGACCCCCCCCCCTCGGGGAGCTGCGAGGTCTCGGCTGGATCTGCGCGCTCCTCCACGCCACTGAGCTCACGAAAGTGGCGGCGGATGCGCAGCTCGCAGTTCCCCGGGGAGCCGCGAGGTCTCGGCTGGATCTGCGTACTCCCCCACGCCGCTGGGCCTCCCAGGAGCCTACGGACGCGGCGACAGTTGCGCAGTCCGCATCCCCGTAGGGAGCTTCGAGGTCTCGGCTGGATCTGCGTACCCCCCCACCCCGCTGGGCCTCCCAGGAGCCCCCGAAAGTGGCGACGCATGCGCAGCTCGCAGTTCCCCAGGGAGCCGCGAGGTCTCGGCTGGATCTGCGTAATTACTCCCCCACTCCGCTGGGCCTCCCAGGAGCCTACGAACGTCGCGACAGTTGCGCGGTTTGCAGTCCCCCCAGGGCGCCGTGAGGTCTCGGCTGGAGCTGCGTACTCTCCTACTCCGCTGGGCCACCTAGGAGCCCACGAAGGCGGCGACAGTCGCGCAGCACGCAGCCCTCGAGGCGCCGTGATGTCTCGGCTGCATCTGCGTGCTGCGACTAGATCCACTCCGCTGGAGCTCCACTCCGCTGGGACTCCTTCGCCTGGATCTGCCTACTACCCTTCTTCGCTGGGCCTCACAGGAGCCCGCGAAAGTGGCAACAGCTGCGCAGTTGTCAGCCCCCCAGGGAGCTGCGAGGTCTCGACTGAATCTCCTTCACGCCGCTGGGCTCACGAAAGTGGCGAGAGTTCCGCAGTCCACAGCCCCCCTGGGAGCCACGTTGTCTCGGCTGGATCTGCGTACTCCCCCCATCCCGCTCGGCCTGCCAGGAGCCCACGAAAGTGGCGACTGATGCGCAGCTCGCAGTTCCCCAGGGAGCCGCGAGGTCTCGGCTGGATCTGCGTACTCCCTCATTCCGCTGAGCCTCCCAGGAGCTCAGGAAAGTGGCAACAGTTGCGCAGTCCGCATCCCCGTAGGCGGCCGCGAGGTCTCGGATGGAGCTGCGTGCACCCCCTGCCCCGGAGCCCACGAACGTGGCGACAGTTCCCCAGCTCGCAGCCCACCAAGGGAGCCGCGGGGTCTCGGCTGGATCTGCGCACTCCCCTCGCTCCGCTGAGCCGTCCCACGAGCCCACGAGAGCGGCGACCGCTCCCAGGGGGAGCCGCGAGGGCTCTCGGCCGGCTCCGCGCCCTCCCCCGCTCCGCGGGGCCTCCCAGAGGAGCCCACGAAGGTGGCGACAGCTGCGCAGCGCGCCCACCCAGGGAGCCGCGAGGTCTCGGCTGGATCTGCGCACTCCTGCTCCAATGGGCTTCCCAGGAGCCCACGAAAGTGGCGACAGGCCCCAGGGAGCTGCGAGGTCTCGGCTGGATCTGCGTACTCCCCCACTCCGTTGGGTCTCCCAGGGGTCAGCGGCGACGGTTGCGCAGTTCGCAGCCCCCCAGGGAGCCGCGAGGTCTCGGCTGGAGCTGCGTGCTCCCCCCTATCCCGCTGGGCGACCTAGGAGCCCACGAAAATGTGACAGTTGCGCAGCTCGCAGCCCACCCCAAGGGAGCAGCGAGGTCTCGGCTGGAATCTGCGTGCTCTCATACTCCGCTAGGCTTCCTAGGAGCCCACGAACGTGGCCACAGTCGCCAGTGGGTCGCGAGGTCTCGGCTAAACCTGAGAACTCCTCCTCTCTGCTGGACCTCCTAGGAGCCCACGACAACGGCGACAGTCCCCAGGGAGCCGTGAGGTCTCGGCTGGATCTGTGCACTTCCCCACTCCGCTGGGCCTCCCAGGAGCCCACGAAAGTGGCAACAGATGCGCAGCTCGCAGCCCCCGAGGGAGCCGCGAGGTCTCGGCTGGATCTGCGTACTCCCCCCATCCCGCTGGGCATCCCAGGAGCCCACGAAAGTCGCGACAGTCCCCAGGCACCCGCGAGGTCTCGGCTGGACCCGCGTACTCCTCCCAGGAGCCCCCGAAAGTGGCAGCACCCCCCAGGGAGCCGCGAGGTCTCGCATGGATTTGCGTACTCCCCCACTCCGCTGGGCCTCGCAGGATACCACGAAGAAGTCGGCAATTGCGGAGCTCACAGCCCCCACCCCAGGGAGCCGCGAGGTCTCGGCTGGATCTGCGTACTCCCCCCATCCCGCTGGGCATCCCAGGAGCCCACGAAAGTCGCGACAGTCCCCAGGCACCCGCGAGGTCTCGGCTGGACCCGCGTACTCCTCCCAGGAGCCCCCGAAAGTGGCAGCACCCCCCAGGGAGCCGCGAGGTCTCGCATGGATTTGCGTACTCCCCCACTCCGCTGGGCCTCGCAGGATACCACGAAGAAGTCGGCAATTGCGGAGCTCACAGCCCCCACCCCAGGGAGCCGCGAGGTCTCGGCTGGATCTGCGTACTCCCCCCATCCCGCTGGGCATCCCAGGAGCCCACGAAAGTCGCGACAGTCCCCAGGCAGCCGCGAGGTCTCGGCTGGACCCGCGTACTCCTCCCAGGAGCCCCCGAAAGTGGCAGCACCCCCCAGGGAGCCGCGAGGTCTCGCATGGATTTGCGTACTCCCCCACTCCGCTGGGCCTCGCAGGATACCACGAAGAAGGCGACAATTGCGGAGCTCACAGCCCCCACCCCAGGGAGCCGCGAGGTCTCGGCTGGACCTGCGTGCTCCCCCCATCCCGCTGGACCTCGCAGGAGCCCACGAAAGTGGCGAGAGTCCGCGTGGGGAGCTGCGAGGTCTCGGATGGGCCTGCGTGCGCGTGCTCTCCCACTCTGCGGGGCCTCCCGGCAGCCTCGCGAGAGTGGCGGCGGATGCGCAGCTCGCGGCGCCCCCCAGGGAGCCGCTACGTTCAAGTTGGGCCTGTCCCTCTACAGGGGGAATTTCAAAAGATAGTCAAACATAGTCAGGGAACTATGTTTGAAGTATTTGTTGTTGACCATGTTGGAGTGTTTTTTTATTCTGTATCATTTCTCGTCGAAAATCCCCCTGTAGGGGGACATGCCGACTTAACGCTGGGTCTCGCCCGGATCCCCCATGGAGCCGCGAGCAGGAGGAGGGGAGAGAAGAATCAGGTGGAGACTAGGGTTGGGAAACAGATCGCCGGAGATCTGGGTTCCTCCTCTTCTTCCCTCGGCCTCTCCCCTGGCCCTCATAAGGTGTGAGGGCTCTGCATCCATGTTGCACCATGCATGGGTCAGTTTGCTGCTTCCAGTCTGCAGGACTTGACCCCGAAGAGCCCAGACCTTGCCTTACTTCTCTTCCTCTCCTCCTCCTCCTCCTCCTCCTCCCTCCTCCTCCTCCTCCTCCTCCCTCTCCTCCTCCTCATCCTCCTCCTCCCTCCTCCTCCCTCCTCCTCCTCCTCCTCCTCCTCCTCCTCCTCCTCCTCCTCCCTCCTCCTCCTCCTCCTCCTCCTCCTCCTCCTCCTCCTCCTCCCTCCTCCTTCCCCTCCTCCTTCTCCTCTCTCCTCCTCCTCTCCTCCTCCTCCTCCTCCTCCTCCTCCTCCTCCTCCTCCTCCTCTCCTCCCTCTTCTCAGATTCTTCTCCTCCTCCTCCTCCTCGTCTCCTCCTCCTCCTTCGTCCTCCTCCTCCAGCTCCTCCTCCTCCTCCGCCTCCTGCTCCCCCCCTCCCTTCCCCCCCCCCTCCCTCCCTCCCCTCCTCCCTCCCCAGACATGCGACGCCCTGATTTTTGTCAATACAGAGTCCCTGGAAGTCCCGATCCTTTCCCCTGGACCGGCTTTTCGTCCTGAGCCGTCTTTCTTTGCCAGTCCCGAGGCCCGGCGAGGGCTCCCGGGGGCCGAAACAGTCTGGGAACCTCCCGCCCGGAATTTTTTTTTGACACGACGCTGTCATGTGTGGGTCCTGGGGACTCTCGCCATTTTCGTTGGTTCCTGGGAGGCCCAGCGGAGTGGGGGAGCACGCAGATCCAGCCGAGACCTCGCGGCTCCCTGGGGTGGGGGCTGCGAGCTCCGCAATTGTCGCCTCCTTCGTGGTATCCTGCGAGGCCCAGCGGAACGGGGGAGTGCGCAAATCCATGCGAGACCTCGCGGCTCCCTCCCTCCCTCCCTCGAGGAGGAGAGAAGGAGGAGGAGGAGGAGGAGGAGGAGGAGGAGGAGGAGGAGGGTCATGTCTGGCTCCCTCCTCGATCTCCCCTCCCTCCGCGGCAGGGGCGCGCGGCACCGCTCGGCGGTCTTCCCCGACGCCCGCGCGGGGGGGCCCGGCGCGCCGCGGCGGCGCCTCCACGGCGCCGTGGACCCCGCCGTTGAGCGCGGCGGCCGTGCCAGATCTCCGAGGACAGGGATTTTCGAAGAGCGGCTCACTCCTCCTCGTCGACCCTCCTCCTCCCTCCTCCTCCTCTTTCTCCCCTCCTCCCTCCTACCTCCTCCTCCTCCTCCTCCTCCTCCTCCTCCTCCTCGTCCTTTCTCCCCTCCTCCTCCTCCTCCTCCTCCTCCTCCTCCTCCTCCTCCTCCTTTTTCTCCCTCGTCCTCCTCCTCCTCATCGGGCTCGAGGTTCCCAGGCACCCTCGGGCAAGGACCAGAATCGTGACCGGAGGGTTTTTCCTGTATTTCGGCGTCCAGAGGCCCTTGCCGGCCCTCGGGGCCGTCAAAGGGACGATGGAGGATGTGCACGAACGAGATGGGCACGGAAAGAATAGGTACAATGCTCAACAGAGGTTCCTGTTCATTTTGAACAGGACTCGCTGTCCGCACCGCCGCGGCCTGTGTCCATTCGAGACAGAAGGCCGCCTGCCCAACAGCGGCCGCTGTCGGTTTGGGACAGCATTTGTTGTTGGGCATTGTACCCATTCTTTCCGTACCCATCTCGGGCGTCCAGAGAGGATGCAGAACCGGTCCAGGAGAATGGGTCGAGACCTCTGAGGGTCGACGGTATGGAGAAAGCATGGCGTCGGGGCTCGAGGTTCGAGGCTCCGTGTTCGGGGTCGGCTTTTAGCTTTTGCCGCCCATTCGAGGGGGGCACTTTGGTGCCCCTGGGTCCGTCGAGCGCGGCAGCCTTACCGTTACCAGATCTCCGAGGATGCGGCTTCTCGAAGAGCGCAGAAGTTCTCGAGGTTCGAAGTTCGAGGCTCTTCGAGCAGGGGATCGACTACAGGATTGATTGAATTACCCCGAGGTTGATTTTCTCGTCGAATCATACGTAGAATGTTCTCAGATCTACAAACATGTTACGCACGTCTCATGGATTCGACGAACAACTCAATCTTGGGGTAAATCAATTCTGTAGTCCATCCCCTGCTCGAAGGCTCTGGGTCCGGGGAGGTTTTTTGCCCCTGTCGGCCTCCAGGGGCCGTTTTGGGGCCCCAGGGGCATCCGGGGTGACAAGCTGCACCAGGTGGACCCCAGGAGGGGTCCAGGGACCCATTCTGGACGGACTTGGGGCACTGTGCGCCCGGGCCGCGGGCGCAGAAACACGCCTCTTCTAGTAGGTGGATCTCTCAAGCTCTCCGCCGCCTCTGGCGGTGTGCGTTGTGAGCGCGTCCTCCGAGTGTCAATGTGGAGATACAGTCGGCCCAGATTAGTAGGTCGACCCTGCCAGATCAAGGCTGCCCTCGCGTCCTGTGTCCCGCGACCCCTGCCCCCTGCCTTATCTGTGGCAGCATGGCCTCCGGAAGGGCCTCGTCTCCTCGCGCGTGCCCTCTCTAATCGAGTCCGACTGTGCTCTGTGAATGCCTCGCTCTCCTGGGGCTCTGCCGCGCTCCTGGACGTGATCCTGGAGGAGGAGGAGGAGTAGGAGGAGGAGGAGGAGGAGGAGGAGGAGGAGGAGGAGGAGGAGGAAGGAGGAGGAGGAGAGGAGAGGAGGAGGAGGAGGGAGGAAGGGAGGAGGAGGAGGAGGAGGAGGAGGAGGAGGACCAGGAGGAGGAGGAGGGGAGGGGAAAGGAGGAGGAGGAGGAGAAGGAGAGAGGAGGAGGAGGAGGGAGGGGAAGGAGGAGGAGGAGGGAGGAGGGAGGAGGGAGGAGGGAGGATGGGGAGGAGGGAGGAGGGAGGAGGAGGAGGGAGGAGGGAGGAGGGAGGAGTGAGGAGGTGAGGAGGGGGAGGGTGGAGGGGGAGGAGGAGGAGGAGGAGGAGGAGGAGGAGGAGGAGGAGAGGAGGAGGAGGGGAGGGGGAGAGAGGAGGAGGAGGAGCGGAGGAGGAGGAGGAGGAGGGGAGGAGAGGAGGAGGAGGAGGGAGGAGGAGCAGGAGGAGGAGGAGAGGGGCGGGGGAGGAGGACAAGGTGCGCTCGCGTCATATCTGACGTCCTACCCCTCCCTCCCATCCCTTACCATGGCGCTGATTTTCTCTATCCGCGGACGCGTGTCGTAGCGGACCTGTGGCTCCGCGCGCGCGTGCGTAGTGGGTGGTGGTGCACGTGCGTGCGTGCGTGCTGCGTGTGTGCGTGGTTGTGGTGGTGGTGGTGGTGGTGGTGGTGGTGGTGGTGGTGGTGGTGGTGGTGGTGATGGTGGTGGTGGTGGTGCTGGTGGTGGTGGTGTGGTGGTGTGGTGTTGGTACTGTGTGCTGGTGCGTGGTGGTGGTTGTGGTGGTGGTGGTGGTGGTGGTGGTGGTGGTGGTGGTGGTGGTGGTGGTGGTGGTGGTGGTGGTGGTCGTGGTGGTGGTGGTGGTGGTGGTGGCTGGTGGTGTGGTGTTGGTACTGGTGCTGGTGCTGGTGGTGGTTGTGGTGGTGGTGGTGTGGTGGTGGTGGTGGTGGTGGTGGTGGTGGTGGTGGTGGTGGTGGTTGTGGTGGTGGTGGTGGTGGTGGCGGTGCGGCGCGGTGGTGGCGGGCGGATGGGCGCGCGAGAAAAAGGCCCGCGCTGGGGCGAGAACGCCATCCTGAACGACGGAGGCCAAGCACCGATCCGAAAATGAGGCCCACGCTGCAGCGGGAGCACGATTCGGAACGATTCGGGAGCAGAAATGAGGCCGGCGCCTCAACGAGAGCAGCATTTTGGGAAAAAATGACGCCGGCGCCTCAGCGAGAGTCGTTTCCCGGGATTTCCCGGGCATCCTGTGTGTAAAAAAACAGTACGCGGAGGGTGCGCGGCCATCACCCGGACGCCATCAGGGGAAGAGGGAGAGTATTTTCATATTGAGTAATTGTGGAGAGGGGGAGGAGAGGAGGGGGGGGGAGGGGAGGGGGAGGGGAGGATGAGGAGGCGGAGGAGGAGGAGGAGGAGGAGGAGGAGGAGGAGGAGGAGGAGGAGGAGGAGGAGGAGGCGGGGGTCGGCCTGGGTGCCCTGCTTGGCCGCCGGGCCGCCTGTGCCGCCTGTGCCGTCGCGCGGCCTCTTTGCGTCTCGGGGAGGGCGCCTCGGGCCGCCTCGGGCGGCCTCGGGCTCGCCGTGGGGCTGCCGCGGCGCCGGCGTCGTCTGCTCGGGCGCGGGGCGAGGCAGGGCTCGCTGTGGGTTTGCCGTGGTGCTGAGTCGGGCCTGTCCCTCTGCAGGGGGAAGAGTCCAACATAGAAGCAACAAAAATAGTCTGGGGACGATTGGTAGAATCATTTTTTTTGGTTTTCGTCCAAGATCCGCCTGTGGGGGGGCACGCAAGACCAATTCGTGGTGTCCGCGCCGTCCACGTGGGCGCGCCGAGAACAAACGGCGCGGCGACAGATTCGTGCTCATGGGCCCTTCGCAAAGGGGGTCTCACAAAACGTGCCCAATAGCTCGTGCAATCGTCCGTGCTGGATTGTGCTGGATGCGGGCAGAGCGCGTTGCGTCTGGCATAGTTGGTCCGTCGGAGAGGCCGCGCGCCATGAGTCACAGGACGAGCTGTTGTTTTTGGTTGCGGCCACATCACGAGAGACCCCCTCCTCCTCCTCCTCCTCCTCCTCCTCCTCCTCCTCCTCCTCCTCCTCCTCCTCCTCCTCCTCCTCTTCCCCCCTCTTGCCTGGAACGCAAAAGCTCCGACCCCGACTTCGCATCCGCCGTGCTTGCGACGCCGTCGTGCGCAGGTGCTCGCCCTGCTTTCTGGGCTCCTCTTGGTGCCGATGCCCGCCTCACTCCGTCGCCGCCGCCTCCGCCCGACTCCTGCCGAAGCATTCGAGCTCACCAGATCTCCGAGGAGGAGGAGGAGGAGGAGGGGGAGGAGGAGGAGGAGGAGGAGGAGGGGGAGGAGGAGGAGGAGGAGGAGGAGGAGGGGGAGGAGGAGGAGGAGGAGGAGGAGGAGGAGGAGGAGGAGGAGGAGGAGGAGGAGGAGGAGGAGGACGAGGAGGAGGAGGAGGAGGAGGAGGGCCGAGGAGCCCCCCAACAAAAAGCATAGGCATGGGCGCTCGGAGGTCAGCACGAATCTCTCCTGGATCGGCGCTCGCCACCCCTGGCGTCGAGTCGGGAGTGTCATTCTACAGGAGGAGCATGGAAACGATCGTAAGAAAAATAGTCCTTGGGCGATGATTAAGAAAACTTAAGTTTTCGTCCAGAGTCTCGATGATTCTTAATTTTTCAATGTAAATCCGGAGATTTTGATAGAAGTTCTGGGTTTTATTCAATTTCTGAGACTATGAGTTTCTTAACCCATGATTTCTTAAGCATTTCGCAGGGTGTAGTCTGGGGACGATATGTCGAGCACTCCAGATTTCGTAATAAAAAGGGAGGGGGTCACAGCCCTCCCAGACCAGAAGTTCTACACCCCCCAGACTATCCGTGAAAGGGCGGCCCTTTGCCCGGACCCCACCGAACCCTCCAAGACAGCTCAAATTAGACCCCCCCCCCGAATGTGACCCCCCCCACTCTGTTATGCAATCCGGAGTATGTTTCCCCATTTTTGGGGGATATTTGCTCTGTATCCTTTCTTCGTCGTCCAGAATCCGCCCGTAGGGGGACATGCCCGACCTGACCCCGGCGGCGCCTACGACGCCGCCCCTGCGGCGGCCCCGCGCCCGCCTCCAGACATCCGCGCCGGCCTCCGAATGTTTCTGCTTGCCGATGGCCGCTCCTCCACATCTGCAGGGCTCGTTTCGATTCCTCCGATTCGATTCGATTCGGTTTCGATAGTTTCCGATTCCGATTCGATTCGATCTGGGATTCCGATGTGAGTTCTGACTTCTTGTGGGAGGCATGCTGGCCTGCCGACTTCTGCCGATCCGGCTTTTCCCGACTCGGCTGCCGATGTCCGACGATCCGATTTGTGTCGATCGCCGATCCGACTTGTCGATCCGATCCTGGGCTCTCCTGTATCTGGGTCTGCAGTCCTGAGCGAAGAAAAAGACGGCACAAACGTAGGCCTTCGGGGCAGCAGCGAAGAGCGGATCACGACGGAGGGGGGGAGGGGGAGGGGGAGGGGGGGGCATGTTCTCAGCACCTGGGAGTCTT